GAAAGAGAACAGAACGAATACGGACGCATTCGATAATGTCTGTAGAATAAATAATGTAAAATAATTATCTCAATATAACTATGTTAATTAGTCTTACCTAAATATATTATATTTTTATACTAATTCAAATGAGTAGTTCCTCACTTTATTTTAGAGTAGCGCACCACTTGGATATCGACCCAAAGGCAATAAGGGTAGTGAATTCCTTTTAGTGGATCATATACATACAACAAAACAAGAATAATATCAACAAAAATAATAGTACTCTGCACCTCTCACATCAGTATGGGATCGGAGACACCCCCATTCCCGGTGGAAAATGAAATTTTGGAATCCTTTTCAAGTTGGGGCATCAGCCAAATCTGGAGCATCGTAAGATACGAATGCCTCTTTAAAGTTTTTTCTTTTGCAAAAATAATTCTCCCATAAGGTTTCCTTCAGTATTCGACAGCAAAGACATTCAACTATTGAAAATCTCTGGCACTTTCAATGCCTCCGCGTCAAATACAGGGGAATGGTTCGATTGGTAACAGGTCTGGCAATTTCCAGCACAACTTTGGAATCGCCGAAAACAGTCCCTGCGTTTGTGATAAAGACGGTGTTGCTATTCCACTACATCCCAAACAGTCGAAGGACTTGTACGTTATCAGTTATGCTGAATGAAGGGAACAGATTGGAGCAACCATGAAACCTTGGGCTTATTGCAACATGAAAAAGTTTGATGAGACGACCCCGACTCCGACCTTTGCAAGATGATAAGTGTGAGTACGGAAAAAACAAAAATACAATCTGTAATAGGTAAGTCAAAAACACCAACTATGTTAGTGTAGATCGTATTTATCTATACTGACTAAGACTAAAGACTAATTCTAAGACTAAGTCTAAATGTTTAGATCGTGACAAAACACGATAATCAGCGATCATTCAACTTTCCTTCCTCACATTTTACTCCAAAAAGGGGACACCATTTATGGCTGCTTAAGCATAGGGACACTCTCTTCAAGTGCTAAAATTAGAAGATATAGCTAGTGCGCTAGCTAGTGCGCTCCTAAGGATCCAGTTTCCCAAGCTCAATGGGATATCAGTCGGTGTCAAGTCCGGTAAATGAGGTTCACATTTTAGACATGTTGTGGCCTGTACATAGGCACCAGATCCAGGACACTTACATCAGGTGCGTAAAATGAGGGAGAGCGTGATTGTGGATGTGCGAGAAAAATGTCAGAAGCATGATAGAAAGACAGCAATTAGAAGCAGGGAAAAACCAACGCAATCAAAAACACCAGTGCATCAAACGTAGATTTACATGTGCATTTCTGCCACTATGGAGCAGCCTGAATGCATTTCTCCGGGCACTCTCTCATTCTCAGCCCGTAGTGCAGTATATGCGGCACTAGAGGTAGTTAGTGTTTCGAACTTACGCTGTTATGACTTAATAGTAATATTCTGGAAGGTTTGTCGAACTATATCCACCTTCTTCTCTGAATGCGAAGGACTGCTCGTGCTTTAGCTTTGTCTATACTGAACGGAGCTCTAGTCAAACTATCGCCCTGCGATGACAAACTTTGACTTAGGGTATTCCACTGTACAAAATGTCTTCGGTTTCTTAGTGGCTGCCATCATGAAAAACTTATGCTAATGAAAATGACTGATACTTCAATTAAAACTTGGAGAATCTAATAGAACTCAATATAACTTACGCCCTTCTAAACATACTGGGTATCTTGAAAAAAAAAACAATGAAAAGAGCTCAATCTTTTTCGAACCCGATGTACATCAATCACCTTTTCTCGAGAACTGAACAGTACCAAACTGAATTATTTTTGTTATGAGATCTTGATTATTAATTTAAGGGTCTCGCGTCAGTGAGATTAGTTGTACGTTCAACCATCTTATGTTGGCCTGACTGTAAGAGTTATAAAGATTTTTCTAATCTAATTGGTTTCCCTAAAATTTAAAGATAATGTTGAAAGAGTACAAATGTAAACAAAAGGCTTATACGATCGAGGAAACATTCAGTGTCTTCAATTACACAAGACCAACAGCAATTGCCAGATAATTCGAATTACTTACGTGGATTGTTAAAAAATGAGGCTAAATTTTATTCTCATTTTTCAACAATCCACGAAGTCAGTTCGTTGATAAGGTTGATAATAATAAAGGAATGGCCGGAAAAAAAGGGCTAGGATAGAGGAAATCACCAATCGCCATTAATGTATGCTGGAATTTTCGCTGAACTGTTATTAATAATATAACTCACGGTTCATATAAACCGCGATTTAGTAGTCATGGACTCAGATAACCGCGTGTTAAGGAGGTTAGACTAAACACAAACAAATACACACACACACATATATATATAGGGAGATGATTTCACATTTAAATAATTTTTATTTCCCAAGTTTTCCCATTTTCTAACTAAAAAGGGAAGAGTTCATTCCGACTTTCTGATCCAATTCCAAAGTATCTTTTTCTTTCACGCGCAAAAAATTATTTAATTCACTTCACCGTATTCATGAATCTGTCAGAAATAATCCCTTCTTTTTTGATAGACGCCATGTTAATCCCTCACAATCCCTTCATCTTATATCACGTGAGTTCCATGTTATCTGGTGAAATCCCTACTATAAAATCAATTGCAAGGTAAAACTATCAATCTTCTGAGCTCTTCTGATGCAGTCGAGACTGCGTAGCTGCATTTCTTGCCTTCACTTATTACCAGAACTGTTCATTTCTTCCGGAATCATAAATGTATTTTGAGTCAATTACGGATATATATATGTACATACAGAGAGAGGAGATGGATAAGATTGGATTCTGAGAAGGATAAGTGTGGGAATTAAATAATGTCCATGTTGTGAGCTAGGTTCAAAACCTTCTTCTATACTGACAATTGGAGTAAAATGATATGAATGAATTTGTCCCGTAAAAGAATATTAGATAAAATCCATATCTATCTAAATCAAAGAATAGTAAAGAGTAAAAAAAAAAAAAAGATTTCTTAACGGAATTTCTTAACTGATTAAGCAAAAACATGTAATGATATTTTCATAACAAACATAATGAAACTATCATTATGTTTATTGGAGAGAAAGCACTTAATATAAGAGCATCAGAGAGAGCGTGCTGTGTTTTCTTAGCAATTCTTCGAAAACTTATCACTTTTTTTTACACCAGCAGCAGTAGACATCCAATTAAGACTGAAAGACTTAAAAGCTTTTGGGTTTGCACAGGGAATAAACAGTTTTAACCAGTATATTGTCTTTTGAATGAAATTAATCCATTTAAACGCTTTTCATAAATTCACTTGCATATTAAGTTTTTAAAAGTAATGCAATTAAAATAAAGTAAGGTAAATGGAAAGAAATAACGTGGAAAAAGTTTATATGCGCTCGTAAAGCAATTATTTATATTTATGTCGTAGGTGAAGTAAATAAAATAAAATTTAAAAAAGATATTTAACATAGTTTCTTGGAAGCTTTAATATATTTCAGCGAAGTTTTTTTGAATTATTATACTTGGATTTTCTTATGTTCATTTTGAATTTTTTATTGTTTTTTTTTTATTATTATATTCCTATTAAGTCCGGGAAAAAAATGTAAAAAAAAATTGAAAATTTAAATTTGGATACATCAATTATTGTTTTACGATACACAAAACATGTAGCTTTATTTTTCTTATATTCGTAATCTATAAAAATATGTTATTTTTCTTTTATGATGTAACTGACATTTAAATGAATTAAGAGCAAATAATTGTAGTTTGATTATAATATTCCTTTTTTTGCCTTCATTTCTGATTTTTTCAGTTATTTTTAAGAAATTAATCAAGAAAGCAACCAATCCAGCTGGTTAGATTTTTATACAATGCATTAAAACCAGGTAAAGAAATATTTTTTACTTTTACATTTTAGTGATTCAATAATAGTAACATTAGCTTTGTAAACGCTTTATTTTTTTGAACTATGAAAGTTAGTTAAAAATAAATTATATTGAGCTTTTGAAACTGATGATGTATGTGTGTACTTATTTTTTTCCGATTTCATTTCATACAATTATTATAAATACGATGAATGATGCTTTATTATAAAGTATCTTTTCTCCTGAAGAACATTAATAATTTTTTAAACAATTTCTTCCACTGTTGTACAATAACTTTAAAAAAATATTTTTAACGATGAGAGTATTTAATGCAAAGTAACTAAAATTTAAGTGATTAGAAAAATGTCTATATATTTATAAATATTTGCATTCAATTTATAACAAAATTCAAAAGAAAAGATGACAAATTTTGAACCAAATTTAATACTAGTCAATTTAATTTCAATAGACAAATCCGGAAATAATTGCGATTAGTCATTTAATTATTCTTTCGGTGTAATGTAAGAGCCTGTACTCATTTCTAAATAATAAAAATTCCTTTGATATAAAGTCGAAAAGCCAGATAATTTTTGATTTTCATTTTACAAAATATTTCGCTACTTTTACACCGCTTCTGAGATATTAAGTACACATTATTTAACTTTACTGTTACTTTTTGCTTTTAGTGATAATTTCACTTATTTAACTTTAATTAATTTTTGTCTTTTAACTTCAGGCAAATACATCAGACATAAACAATAACAACTTTAACAATAACAGCTTTGAAGCGCAGTTTACATTCAGCGTGCGTCAATTTGTGGTTCTTACAGACTTATCCTACCCTGCAAGCAATAATAACTTATTCAAACATCTTTTTTCGCATAACATTGGTGAGAACATCTTCTCGCCTTTTATAAAGTTACACTCGCCTTTTATAAAGTTACACTCGCCTTTTATAAAGTTACTTCTATAGCGGGAGGTAATAATGTATTATAGTAGCTCTACACTATATCGTGCTTCTTTCTTGCTGTATTTAAAAGATAGTTTTACATTGATATGTATCGCAAAAAAGCGAGTAGTCTTCTAAAGCTTCCTTTTATATTTTTGAACATCATATAAGAATATATTTCCTTTCGAGAAGTAGCAGTCGTGTCCGAATGGCTTCGGCGATGAGCTTGAAACCCACTGGAGTTTTTCTGCGTAGGTTCGAATCCTATTGGTTGTTGAATAAGCTAAAAGTATTTTTACCCAAGCATTCCTTCTCTTTTTTCGACACTCCTTCTTTTTAATCATTTTTTAACTTATGTTCCTCTTTGCTTCAGTTTCTAGATGACAGTTATACCTTGTTTAGGCATAACATAACCTCATCTGGCTCTTGCGCCATTAAACTTTACCATCACTATCAGTGACGAAGAATCTTGACCCCAAAGCCCCCTAGTCATCTTTTTATTTTCCGTGGGATTTACTGTCTTTGTTAAAAACGGGTGACGCACCCCCCTGGAATAAACTAGCTCTCACCTTCCGTCTGGCTCTTGCTTCATAAAACTCCACTGTCACTCACTCACTCACCCAGTGGAGAAGAAGACTTGAACGATGGACAATGAAAAAAAAAGACACAGCATGTTACAAAGTTCTTAATAGCGGCGAGAGTAATCAAAATACAATTTACCTATTTTTCGATACATTTAAAAGGAAGCTCTTAACATGAATCAATAAAATGTTATTTATTTATATATCAATGCACGGAATAAAAAAGTAAGAATTTTAAAAGCATTTTTATGTTCTCATTTTAAGAATCAATCTGGTTCAATAATATTGATTTTTTATTGTCATAATGTAATTGGGACGTCAAGGAAAAATTGCCTTATTTTATCTTTCGGTCCAATAGTGCAGATTTTTTAAAATTACAACCAATAGAAGTCGTATTTTAACAATGAGGTTATGTAGAGGAAATCAAATTTATATGACTAAATAATCGAGACCCATCAATAATTAATTAGTGTGTTAACATTTTTTTTTTTTTGAATTTGTGTACAAAACTTTAGGTAAGTTTTGCTCTACTGTAATTATAACTCAAAGTTTGAAGTATGCTTATAAACTTAAATTCAAAATGCTGAACATAATTATAAATTAAAATGAAATGAAAAAAATTTAAGAAATACACGCCGTGGTTCAAATCTTGTTTAGTTTTTATACAAAAGTATTGCATAATATTAAACATTTGTGAGTATTTATTAGAAAAAACTTACACCGTATAGGAAAATGCAATCAATTTTTAATACAGAAAATATCAGCACTACAGATCATGAGCGAATAAAGTGTGCCAGAATGCTGAAGAAACATATTTTAATAACAACGTAAATTAAAATGTTTTTCTCTATAGTGTAGCATAAATACATTAAATGTTTTAAAATTGAATTTTCTACTGTCTGCTTATCAAATTCTCATTAATAATATATCGACGGAATCATCTACGTGCTTCCTATCTTTAACAGCAAAATAAAATTAATAAATTAATCGAAATTCGAAACATTTTAGTCTCAGCTCCTGTAACACGATTGTTAACGTTCCTAAAAATCATCGTAACAAGTTCCTAAAAGTCATCGTGTTATGCGAATCCGTGTGGTTGCGATAGCCTAGTGGTCATGGTCACGGATTAGTGGCCGGCGGTTTTGTAGAATCGTAGGTTCGAGCCTTAATGCCACTAAAGAACTGCCGTGCAGCCCAACTTGATGCATGTTAAAACTATTAGGCTCAAAGTCCTCTCATTGGCGTGTTCGGGAGAGGGAGGTGCCAGCTCAGGTGTCGTCCTCGTTGCTTAAACGAAATTCAAAAATTTTCATTCAAATTATTGCTTTTTAAAATGTATTAAATACTGGTTCGATCGTCATCATTTCTGCATTATTAACCTCCAGTGAGTATTTGTTATTTTCTTTTTGGCAAGATATTCTCATTTCCTTAATTTTTTCGCATGGAGATAAACCTAATTTTAAAACAGTGTGAATGTGAAATCATGCGATAGTATGTCGTGTCCCTATGAATATTTACCCCAATTCTCGAACGGTAATAAAGTGAAATTGTGTTACAGAAATGCCATGTTTCACGGGGTTATTTGTATTTTTAAATGAAATAAATTCTACATATACTTCGTAATTACTTCAAATGTATCATAATGACAAATTCCTCAAATTGGCTTTGGGTGGAAGACTATAAAGAGGGGTGTCAGCTCAGGTGCCGTTCTCATCACTAGTTCTTTGCTATTTATAAGTGAGACATTCATAAGCATTCAATCAGTCAAATCCCTTCGTAAAAAGGAAATCGAATAAGCTGTAAGGCGAATAAAGGTTAGAAAAATTAAATATCTATACAAAAAAAGGTTAATTAGTATAAATAAATCAAATAAAAATTGTTATAAAATTATTTATAAAAGGATTATTCCAAAAAGTAAAAGTTCGATACTTTTATTCTCTATCACTGTTTTTTTTTTCTCCGGAATATGGAATTATTACAAAGCATTTGCTTTCTGGATCTTTTATCACCCAACTTTCATTATAAATTGCATTAAATTATTTGGTGTACTTTTTAATCTTTTTCTATACTACGTACACATTTTCCTTTGGGTGAATTTTTGATCATTTCATATCCTTAATCTTTTAATAATTAAAACTACTTGACAAAGAGTGACATGTATGTTTTATATTTTTAATAAACTTCAAAATACTGTCGACAGTAAAAATTTATTTAAAACATGAAACATCGCAAAACAAGATATTTAGGTTGCTGTGGAAAAAGATGTAATGTTTGTAAATTTTCTTCGTTTGACTTTACAAAATCAATCGTGATGCATTGAATTGATGATGCATCAAGTATTATCAACTTATGATTTTGCATTGTCATTCCCTTACGAATTTTCTAAATAAAATTTAAATATTACTGTTTTACTTACATTATATATAATATAAAGATGCATCATAAATGCTCATACACTTTTGGAACTAGAAATTTCTACCAAAATTGAATTAATAAATTCGCCTGAGAACTCTCAATCGGAAATTGTTCTAATTTATAGTGTTAAATGAAGACATTTTATTTTTAGAATACGCGTATATATTTTTTCGTTTATAAGCTTTCGTCTTATGCAACGGACTCGTAAATAAACTCCCCCCCCCCTTGAATTTTTGCTAGTTTTTTCGTTAATTTACTTCCGAGATTTCCTTCTTCAATATTATAATATGAAATTGTAATTTCTTTCGAGAATTATAAAAACATGAAATCGCATGTCTGCAAATTATCAGCATAATGTTTCTATCAGGGTCCGAAATGTTGTTGTGAAAAGAAAAACAAAACATCGAACAAGCGCTTCAGTTAGCCGCAGACACAAAACAAAACAACGCAACAGAAAACATATCCGATATCAAACCCGATTCGAATTCCCCAATCATAATTGGCGCCATTTGTCAGGCGATTCATCGCCAACTGCAGATGAGAGAACTTCCCGCTCCACGAGAAGAACCCAAACACTGACCTGGTTCAACTTTCTTATCAGTAGGTCCGCTCATGTTTTAGAAAGCGGTGGCGGCATTTCACTGTTCGTGAAAAGAAGTGGAATTAGTTTCGCGAGGAAGTCTCTTCCTTCTGTCAACCATCGCTTTGTGTTCTGTTTTGGCGGAACTTTTAACGTTTGATCGATGTGCGATTTTTTTCCTCTTTAATTGAACTTGAAGATGACAGCTGAGCCAAATGGTGAGTTACATTAGTTGGGATTGTTTTGATAAAGTTTTTGTTAATCACATAGTGCCCTAGTTTTTGTCCGGAAAGAATGATTTGGGGTTGACATTATTTGAAATAGGTGAAAGTGGAATTTCGCTTGTTTTGTTGTATTGTGTGTTTGATTGCCTTTTTTAATTTATTTTCAAATGTTTCAAAACTTATTTTAAAGTTGGGAAACTCAAATTTAAATTTATTACCTGAAAAATTTAATATTATTCAACAAGCTCTGAGTTATAAACTTGATTTCGAACGAGTTACAATGGAAATAATTTAATTTTATGATATTTAATAAATTAATTCAGAATTAAATGAAGTTCTTAATAATTTAGAAATAACACATGGATTACTAGCACACTACGAAGAACTGAGAATAACTCCATTAATCTCTATTATTTGCCGAATTATTTTAAAAGCAAATATTATTTTGCGTAATTTTACACCGCTCTTGTTATGAAAACTTTGTCAGCAGTAAAACATTAAATAATTTTTTAAAGAAACTATTATACATAATTTAAACATATTTTTCAGGTAGTAAAATTGGAATCGTAATTTTATCTTAGATTATTTTCAGTTTCTCTCAAGTTTAAACTGTAAAAAGAATATTTTTACAAATTACTCTATAGATCTTAACTCACTTATCGGTTTGTGAGTGGGAAAAGTATATTAATCAATTTCTTTAAAAAAATGATAATGCTTCAAGGTGAGTATAAGTGTGTTACGTAGATAACGTAATCACTTTCATTGTTTATTTCTGTAAGCTTATAAAATTGCGAGAATCTTTGAAAATCTCATTTTCATTTCAATTGTGTTGAAAGATGTTTCATAATAAATCGTAATCCATTCATTAGCCCGTCTGCTGATTATTGTAATTGTACTTATTTGGAAAATACGAGTGTATTTAGTTAGCATGTTTAATTATTAGCAGCTAAACTGAATTACTGAAATCGAAGTTTGAAAATATTTGCAATTGTCCTTTGCAACTGATGAATCGTTTATAATTTTTAGTTGCTTTTTTTTCAAAGGAAGTTATGAGGATTTAAAAATGCAATACTGATTATTTGTCACGCAAAAAGGCAATGTTTATTTATTACAGCCAAATTTCAATGACAGAAATCTCAGGTAAAAAATATTTTCATTTAATCTCACAGCTGATGAATTATTTATAATTTGAATAGGAATTTTTTAGAAGGGCGAAGATGGGGGTATGAGGAATTAAAAGTACAAATTTTAATATGTATTACTCATAATGCAATGGTTGTTTCAAGTCTGTTTGAAATAAAATTCATTTTTTTAAACGGGAGACTCAATTAAAAATAAAAATGTTAAATATCGGAACAATCTGCGATTCATGTTTGCTTTATTCTCGCGCTGAGATAAACTTGAATTTCTTTCTGTTTCCACTTACAGATGTATAGATGTTGAAACAAAAGAGACTTCCTTTTTCCTCGATGATAA